ACGAGGTACATCGAATTAGAAGAGGAACGGCTCATTCTGTCACGAAAGCACGGAGTAACAAAGGCATCAGCGCCGAAAGAAACTCCTGCGGTAAAACCTGCGGAGCCAAGACAGCACCTCGACCGCAATACGAGCCAAGGTAGAAAGCCGGCCACGTTCGTCATAAACAGTGAAGACACGGCGCCCAAACAATGGAACAAATGGGCAAGAGATACCGATGCCATTACTACCGGGCCGGTGTATTGCGAGTATCATAAAAGCAAGGCTCACGCGACGGAAGACTGTCGCTATCTGCAAGGACTCCTCATGGCTAAGTACAAGAGCGGCGGCATCACCATCGAATGTGACCGAGCCCAAGGGGGCAATAAAAACCAAAAACGAAACGAGGCCACTGCTCGGCAATTCCTCCAGGACCGAGCCGACGGAGCAGCTGGAGGCGACGATCAAGCAAACGATTCGGCCAAAAGACAACGCCATGGCAAAGCTGTCGCCGACGCCCCCGCTGTCGTTCGACAAATCCATATGATCATGGGCGGTCTTCAAAACTGCAACGATTCGGTCCGTTCAATCAAGCAGTGTCGAAAGAAAGCCGAAATGATGGAAACATGGCCAGTAGCGCCGAGCCAACCTTCCGTGGAGATCGAACCCATTTCTTTCACGAAAGACGACCTCGTCGGAGTTGATCTCCCCCACAACGATCCGTTGGTTGTCGAGCTAATCGTCAGCGACAGTCGAGTTACGCGCGTCATGATCGATACAGGCAGCTCGGTCGACCTAATTTTTAAAGACACCCTCACCGCGATGAACGTAGCTGACCGATGTATAAAGCCGCGTTCTCGACCATTGGCTGGGTTCGATGGCGATTTCATCATGTCTCTCGGCACCATCAAACTACCCACATTTGTTGGCGGAACGATCGCCTGGGTTAAGTTCGTTGTCATCGATAAACCGACGATATACAATGTAATCTTGGGGACGCCATGGCTTCATCAAATGCAGGCCGTCGCGTCCACCTATCATCAGTGCGTCAAGTTCCCTACTCACCAAGGAATCTTTACTCTCAAAGGAAATCAGCAAGTAGCGCGGACGTGTTTCCTGATCGAACACAAGAACCGCGCCGAAAAGAAATTATAGCAACCAAAGAAAGAGGAGCCCATGCCCCGCTCCGCAATAGCAAAGGCACCGGGCAAATCCTACGAGGAATCGGAACTAAGTCGGACGGAACTTGTGAATATCGACGCATCGGATCCACTACGATGCGTCGGCATCGGAGCTGAAATTAGTCCAGAAATCAAAGCGGCCCTTGTGGCCCTCCTCAGAGAGAATTCGTCAACCTTCGCTTGGAGCGTTGAGGACATGCCTGGAATCGACCCATCGATAACGTCCCACGAGCTAGGCGTGGATCCGACATTCAAACCTGTGAAGCAGAAAAGACGCAAATTGGGTCCGGAACGAGCCAAAGCAGTAAATGACGAGGTTGAAAAGCTACTAGGCGCCGGCTCCATCATCGAAGTCCGATATCCAGAGTGGTTGGCAAATCCCGTCGTAGTCAAAAAGAAAAACGGTAAGTGGCGAGTGTGCGTCGACTTCACTGATCTGAACAAGGCCTGTCCAAAAGATAGCTACCCCTTACCGCATATCGACCGGCTCGTCGAAGCCACAGCAGGGAACGAGCTCCTATCGTTCATGGACGCTTTCTCTGGATACAACCAAATTCTCATGCATAAGGACGATCAGGAAAAGACGTCCTTCATCACCGATCGCGGAACGTACTGCTACAAGGTGATGCCATTCGGCCTGAAAAACGCCGGAGCAACGTATCAGCGCCTCGTCAACAAAATGTTCGCCGAACAGCTCGGCCGAACTGTCGAGGTCTACATCGACGACATGCTCGTTAAGTCATTGAAAGCTGACGACCACGTTCAGAACCTCCGACAATGCTTCGACGTGCTAAACAAATACCAAATGAAGCTGAACCCGGCCAAGTGTACGTTCGCGGTAACTTCCGGTGAGTTCCTAGGCTACGTCGTCACCAAGAGAGGGATAGAAGCCAACCCAAAACAAATTCGCGCTATACTGGAGTTGCCCTCTCCCAGAAACGCCAAGGAAGTACAACGGTTGACCGGCCGGATCGCGGCCCTCAATCGATTCATCTCAAGATCGACGGATAAATGTTTGCCGTTCTACAACCTCCTAAAGCGGAGAGACAAGTTTACCTGGGACGACGCAAGCGAGAAAGCGTTCGCCGAACTCAAGACGTATCTGACAACGCCACCAGTACTCGCAAAACCTGAGAACGGCGAAACTTTATTCTTATACATAGCCGTATCCAGTTGGGCCGTCAGCGGGGTATTAGTACGAGATGACCGCGGCGAACAGAGACCAATCTTCTATATAAGTAAGTCGCTAATCGAGGCCGAGGTCCGATACCCTACAATGGAAAAGGCTGCGTTAGCAGTCGTTACGTCGGCAAGAAAGTTGCGTCCCTACTTCCAGTCTCATACCGTGGCCGTGCTTACGAACCAACCTATCAAAGCCGCATTACACAGTCCGAGCCTGTCTGGAAGGATGACCAAGTGGGCCGTCGAACTCAGTGAATACGATATCGACTTCCGGGCTCGACCAGCCATGAAGTCTCAAGTCCTCGCCGACTTCATCGTCGAATTACCAGTAATAGACACGGACGACACCGCACTAAGCACCGATCAGACGAATGGTACTTGGACCCTCTATTCAGACGGCTCGTCCTCTTCGCATGGATCGGGCGTCGGCATCAGGCTCGTGTCCCCAACCGGCGAAATGTTGGAGCAGTCCTTCCGGCTACGTTTCGCGGCGACAAACAACGTCGCCGAATACGAAGCACTTATCGCTGGACTCCGACTCGCAATTGGGATGAACGTCCGACGACTCCGCGCATTGATCGATTCACAGCTCGTAGCAAGTCAATATAGCGGCGACTACGAAGCAAGAAATGATAGAATGGACGCATACCTCAAGGTCGTCCAGCGTCTGTCCAAACAATTCACAGAGTTCGAGCTAACCAAAATACCGCGGGGAGATAACGCTTCCGCAGACGCCCTAGCAGCGCTAGCCTCAACGTCCGACCCAGACCTTCGTCGCGTCATACCAGTCGAAAGCATCGACCACCCCAGCATTGAGGGGGTCGAATCCATCAACCTTGTGTGCAGCCGCGCCGCACCAGATCCGATAAGCGACCCCGAAGATTGGCGCCTCGAAATACGCGACTTCCTGTCAGATGGGACGGTTCCGGTGGACAAATGGGAAGCACGGCGTCTACGCGCCAAATCGTCCAAATATGCTCTATACCGCGAATGCTTACTTCGGTACAACGCATCTGGGGCAGTGCTCAGCTGCCTCCATAAGGCGGACGCGGCAGAAGTCATGAAAGAAACGCACGAGGGAGCAGGTGGAAACCACTCAGGAGGACGATCTCTCGCACTCAAAATCAGAAAGCTCGGTTACTACTGGCCGACGATGATCTCGGATTGTAAAAACTACGTGCTCAAATGCGAGCAATGCCAACGACACGCCCCCGTCATCCACCAGCCGACCGAACTGATGAAAGCTGGCGCCGCGCCATATCCTTTCATGCGTTGGGCCATGGACATCGTTGGTCCACTTCCAGCTTCGCGGCAAAAACGCTTCATCCTCGTCATGACTGATTACTTCACCAAATGGGTCGAAGCCGAATCCTATGCAACGATCAAAGCCAAAGACGTACAAAACTTCGTTTGGAAATACATCATTTGTCGGCATGGCCTACCGTACGAAATAATCACGGACAACGGCTCGCAGTTTATTTCGCAACAGTTCGAAGATTTCTGCGCTAGCTGGAGAATTCGTCTGAACAAGTCAACACCGCGTTACCCCCAAGGCAACGGCCAGGCTGAGGCAACAAACAAAACAATCCTCGCCGGACTCAAGAAACGGCTAGAAGCCAAAAAAGGAGTCTGGGCAGACGAACTCGACGGCGTCCTATGGTCATATAGAACGACCCCGCGCAGCGCCACCGAACAAACCCCGTTTTCATTAGCCTACGGAATGGAAGCGATGGCCCCGGCCGAAGTAGGGTGTACGAGCCTCCGACGTTCCATGATGATACAGAATAATGACCTCAACGATGAAATGATGAGGCACAGTCTCGACGACCTGGAAGAAAACCGCAACACCGCGCTATGTCGAATCCAGAATTATCAACTCGCCGCAGCGAAATACTACAGCAAGAAAGTCCATAATCGGCATTTTAGCGAAGGAGACCTCGTCCTCAGAAAAGTGTTCGAAAACACGGCCGAACTCAACGCCGGGAAGCTAGGCGCGAATTGGGAAGGTCCCTATCAGATATCGAAGATCGTCCGACCCGGAGACTACGAACTCCTCACAATGTCCGGCGTCGAAGTCCCCCGCACATGGAATTCGATGCATCTGAAGCGATACTATTATTAAAAAAAAAAAAAAAAAAAAAAAAAAAAAAAAAAAGAAGGGAGCTCGGCCTTACCGACGCCTCACTATGTAATGTGAACTACGAGCGGCTTGATCCCTCCGATCAGAGGGTACGTAGGCAGCCTCGTTTACGAGGCACAGCTGCAAATATTAATAAAATCTATCTTTTTAAAAGACAAACGAAACGAAATACATTAGCACCCTGGCCCGGTGTCTAATCGAACGAAAGCCGAGTTCCATACTCGCACGATTAAAACGACTGATCACGTAAGCCGAGGCCGAACTCGCAATCACGCTCGTTTTAATCAGTCGAACAGGATAAGCCGACCCCGGAGGTCGCACCTAAAACTGTTCTGGGTCCAACCCAAACACGATTATCGACCAAGTTATTGAGGTCGTCCCCAATAACTTGCGCGGTACGACCTCGCAGGTCGTACCACCGAGTGTCTTGGGTCCAACCCAAACACGATTATCGACCAAGTTATTGAGGTCGTCCTCAATAACCTGCGCGGAACGATATCGACGGCATACGAAAAAGATAGCAAACGAAATAGATATTCAATAAAGGAAAAGCCAACAGAAGTGGCAAGAGTCTTACAAAAGCCGACTACGCGGCAAATAACTTAAAAAAATAATGACATAAAAACTCAAGACGCGGCCTCATCTTGAGGAGGATCTCCGATCTGGGCGTCGCCATCACCAACGACTTGGTCGACAGCCTCGACGTCGCCAGCAACTTCACCATCAACGACTTCGGTTTCTTCAGCAGCGAGAGAGCCCGTGAAGAGATTTCCGACGCCATTCCAGCCTTCCTCCAGCTCGGCAATGTCGAACGCATTGACCTCGTTCTTAAGCTCTTCCGCATCAGCTTCAAGCCTCTCAATTACGTCCTTAGAGTTCAAGACGACCTCCCCAGTTTCAGCCAGCGCCTTCAGCAGGTCAACGCTCCCAACCGCCTGATTATAATCGAGGAACTTGGGATATGCCGCGTCCCTGGTAGTAAAGTGTCTCTGAATCCCGTCAAGACGTTGCTGAAATTGGTCTGCAGCCTCCTTGAGAGCCTTACGAGCGTATTCGGTGCGCCGCTTCCGAAGCCTTGCCTCCTCGGCTTGTGACTGCTCGGCCAAGTTCTTAAAGTCAACACGGGACTTCGACAACTCCTCAAGACAACGCTCCCGTTCTGAAAGAGCGTTATCCCGTTCCTCCTTCAGTTTGGCGACCTCCTCACGAAGAAGCTGCACCTCGGAGTTGGCACTCTCCAAGCCCTTCGACGCCTGATCAGCCCTCCTCGTCTCGGCTGCCAAGGCCCTCTGGTGGTCCTTCGAGGCCGTGTTCTGCTCAGAAACAACGCGGAGACGACGCTCGTACATATACGCCATCCTGTCAATCGCGCCGATGGCCTACAAGAAAGAAGTAGAAACTGGGTTAGAGAACAAAACACTTAAAAATATTACAAAAGTTCTTAGGGCATTACCGCAACGGTCTTCTTCGCAGCGTCAGTGAACGCCGTTCTCTCCCACATATCTTGAAGCTCGAAGAAGGGAGATGGACCGACGTGAAGCTTGCGGAACAGCTCCGCACAAGATGTGGAATCAGTCGAGATATGGACGTCGCGCCCGTTATAATCATATCGCCACCTATAATCAGGGGCCCAGGCCGTCCTTTGTCTCTTGGTCGGGTCCGAACGCACCGGTTCGGACTCATCAGCAGCCCGCTTCTTGGTCGGCTCGACCTGAGAGTCGTCATACAAAATAACCTCCCTGCCGCCTAGGGGCACATCGTGAGAAGTCTCGGCAACAAGTAGCTTAGCTGACCGCGCTTCAGCCACCTCCTTCTCCCTCCTCTCCCTCTCTACGTCGGATCTTGCTTCCGAACGATCGGCACCGACAACATCGTGACTGCGTCGATCACGACGGTCACCCTCATCTCTCCTATCCCGACGACCTGAAGATCGTCGTTCACTCTCCTTAGCCTCGTGTTCGGCTAAGGAAAGACGTTTCCCTAAGGCCATGGCCTCGTCTTCTTCCCGGCTTATCCTCTTCGACGGCGTCACCGACGACTTCTTCTTGTATCTCGATGAGTAATCGCCCACCGCGTCAACATTCATTTTTCCCATAGTCTTTGAAGGAGCTGGTATGTAAAAGAAAGGGGAGAGAAGAATGTAAGAAAAATCGTACGCACTCATCGAACGAATAAAGAAAGAAGGGAAAGATCAAGGCCGACCTGGAATCTTGTTTGCCTTCCTTGCTTTCGAAGGACCTCCTCTTCGACTCGCTTTCTTGGACTTTGAGGAAGGGCGACGAACAGGGTCTTCTTCGTTGGGCCAGGTATACGGGCACAAAGCTAGAATCTTCTTGACGTCGTCGCGAAGTTTCTCAGGATACGGGTCCAAGATCTTGGGACAACGAACTACAAAAGAAACGAGAAAATTATGTCAGATAGACAATCAATTAACAAGGGATCGACCTCGGAGGGATAAGCAAACTACCGGGTGAAACAGTCCACCCATGGTAATTCGTGACGACCACGTCCCCCGCGGAATCGTTGTCGATCTTAACAAAGAAGTACCAACGAAGCCAATCGTTGGTCTTACTCTTCGCACCAACGACCAACTTTGGGGTCAGCGAAGACTGAGTATACACCAAGCCCGGCTTGGATTTCCCGAAATTCTTCTTCGTCGTCAGTTCCTCATACAGAGAACAACGAGGTTCGACGCCGCACTGCTTGGCCAAACGAATCAGGCCGTAAGCATTCCGGATAGCAGCCGGAGAAAGTTACGCAAACGCCATTTTTCGCCGCGAAGCGTACTGAAGCAAGAACGCCGGAATTGGAAAAGTCAGCCCGCAGTCAGTGATGAGCTTTTCGTATACGCAAAGATATCCTTCCGGAGCAGTCCAGGGACGATCCCACGGGTTCGGGATGAGCGTATTCAGGGAAGCTGGAGCATCGCAAAAATGGAGAGAAAGCTCAATCGTCTCGCTCGTCGACGACGTCGGTTGAAGGTAATCCGGAATTCCCGGTGCTGGTCCACCGAGCTGAACAAACCCAACCGGGGCGGGCGCCCGCCTCGTCAATGGAATGATGTCCAAACGATCGGCGACATCAGACGATGGGCCAACAGAACGAGCCGCTCTAATGATAGAAGATTTGCGTCTAATAAGCGGTACGTCATCCTCATCCATAGACGCCGCGTCACTGTCATCATCACGGAGGCGCATGGTTGCAACGGACTTAGGATTTGCACTCGGTCCGGCTGCTCCCACGCGACTTTCGAGCTCGCGACGTCGTAGTTCTGCAACAGCAGGAGAGTCTCTGGCAACGGACGAGGCCGACGATCCGGAAGATGTTCTAGATCTACGACCCCGGGAGTTGCTGACGGATTTGTTGAGGAAACGATCAACAGACCGGATATTCGACTCGTCGGAAGTACGAGATCGGCGATGGTCGGAGATGGAGTCGAAAGAACCGATACTTGAAGACATAATCGGAAAATAAGAAAAGACGCGCTGAGAAAAGGAGAGAGAACAGAGAGAATACCTTCGAAATCGATGCGGAGAAAGAATGAGAGAAATGAGGAGGAAGCGAAGTATTTATAGAGGGAGTCGGTCGAAGAAAAAAACCGCGTCATCATCACGCCTCGAAGAATGGCGTAATCATCACGACCTCGCCGCCTTCGACACGCAAACGACCCGTTTTCTAACGTCTCGGGAGCGGCAGTGGACGAATCAGAAGAGAACGTCCATCACACGCGCCTCGAAAACACGCGAAGGAAGTCGAAGCGAGAACGGCGAAATGATTGCAACCCTAGCCGCGTCATCACTACGCACTAGGGTTGGGGGGCTACTGTTGATGGTGGGTTTTGGGCCCGAGCCCAAAACCCTTAACGGGCCAAAACTCAGCAAAAAAGGCCCATGTATCCCAGCAAAAGCCCAGCAAAAGCCCAGTTCGATTTTCCACCAACCAAAGGGGTAAAAAGGACATTTCATACGCACAGTGTACCCTACTTCTGCACCCTATAAATAGCAAAAAAGAATGTTTGTAAAGAGATCCCGAAAAAACCGCTTTTACAGAGAATTTCGTACAACCGTCAGAGTACTTTGCGGCTCGGCTCGTACACTCAGTTTTTAGCTCGTCCATTTTTGTAATCGTCGGCTCGTCATTAAATAAGAGATTCTTCTTTCACCCTTAAAACTACGAAAACGTACTTGTGTGATTTTGAGGATCAACATAGAATTTTTATTTCAAACACAAAGGATCATCCACATTTATATATCAGTTCCATTCAATTTATTGGAATAGTACCACGAAATCATCTCTCGTTTTTTGTTTTTGCTTTATAGTGTGTATCAAGCATCAACTTCATATCCTGCAGAAAAGAAGAATTGTCAAATTTATTAGGAAAATGTTAAACTTTGGATACGATGAAAAGATGTTAGAATGAAACTTACGGTGTGTACACGACGCGGATGTTACCGGCATCAATATTAGCGATAACCCGGAAAGCGTCACGAGAGAGATTAAGGTCACCGTTGCAAGGCTCCCGGCAGAAATCAACTACCTTCACGTCTACGGTACGACCAGTGCATGCTCCAGGAAAGTTGTACGTAGCACCAATGCATCGAACCCTGTACCTCCGACCACAAGCTCGACCATTTTGCCACAAATTGTTCTTGACTCCGACCACCATCGTCTCACGTTGTGTTCCGTAACACGCAGACCCTAATTACATCATTAATTTATAATTAGTGATATATTTATAATTTATGAAACAAAAATATGTATACGTACTAGTGTAGGGAGGGTCGTAATAGACAGCTTTTCCTAGAGCAGCTTCAGCAATTGGAGCTAAGATTTGTGCAAACACTATCATCATTACCACAAATTTTACTACCACTTTTATCATTTTCTTTATGATGTTTTTAACTTGTTTGTGAGATAATGAAGCAAAGGGAAGCGAGTATTTATATATAATTGGACCCAAAGACTATAAGTAAAAAGGAAAAGTCTTTGGTCTACGTCAAGTCTTCCATTACTTATTGTATTGATTTCATACTGGACAATCTGTTTCTTTCCTTTTTTTCTTTTGGTAAAGGTGGACAATTTGTTTCTTACTCCACCTAAATTTTCTTGGTGAATTGAATGAATATGAATATATGATGATGATGTGTGAAGGAAAATTCCACGAGGGTTTGAAATTTAAAGTTCACTTTTTTGAAATTTTGTTTTTTTTTTTTTTTTTTTTGGCAGAAAGAAATGATGTGGCATGTATTTGACAAAGGTACGAAGGAAATTTCCAAGAAACTAGAGATGGATGGTTTAGAAAAATGGTTTAAAGCTATTTTTAGAAAAATGGTTTAAAGCAGAACCAAGCAAACCAATTCACATAATATGGTGAGCTCACTCATTCTACAAGTCCAAAACTATGAAACATTAATGCTCAAATTTCATAGAGGATGGATTAACTCCCTCGTTTGGCTTGGCTCACGCCCTTAACTTACCTCATTGCGCTGCTTTTCTTCATAGTATGTTTTCCTCCTGTCTTAAATTCAACAAAGTTAAAATATAAAAATGCATTTGATGTAAACAAACAAATTTTGGTGAACAAAATTTACATTTATACAAAACAAAAAACCATATAATCCGTCTAGATTTCTTGTATTTTATTTTAGACTCTTTTTATAACACCAAATGTGGGATTTCTAAGATTTTCTTTATTGAAATTTTTTTAACATGGTTCTCTCATCTTAAAGAGAAATAATATTAATAATAAAATATGTGAGTTCTTAAATAGTGAAGTCAAGAAACTCTCTCCAAACTTTGAAATATTTTGGAGAGAGTTTCTTCGCTGTTAAAAAAATTCATATATTGAAATAATAAAAATTTTGTTGTCCCATGTTAAGAGACTCATCTTAGAGAACACTTCCAGTAAAAATGTGTTGTTAGTTAGATGAGTTTAGTTTGTCATATAACACCAATAAAATTAGTCAAATGATGAAGTATGAAAAACAAATTTGTTTGCGTTCTTTACAAGAGAGACAAATCTCTCTTTGTCATCATTGTTTATGAATTCCAAAATTCTGGAGGATAATTGGGCTTAGTGGGCTGAAGGCCAAAATCTCTAACAAATACTATAAACTTTCTAGCTAAGAAAGAGATTTGATCAAATGTGGTTGAGTTGAGATAACGATTTGCCCTTATCGAGGAAGTTGCCTTTGTCGGCTTGTCACTATTATTCATCAATCAAAGATTGAGAATTACAAAATGAGATTTTAACTTTCAAGTATTGCCATTTGTGTGTTTCTTGTATAGAACACGAACAAAACGAGATGATAACCCAAAATATGTAAGTATGTAACCTATTAAATTTTTAGTTAGGGTTGTTGTTATATCATCGTCCAAGTTTAAAGTTACATATCGTATATTGTTAAAAAAAAAAAAAAAGAACAAACCAAAGAATGTATAAAATGTAAAAGGTATCAAAAAAGAAAATGTATTAAAACTCTTTTCAAAACGTCCGTAACAATTAAACGACAAATCTATGTTCAGAATGAGTATTTTTTTTTTTTTTTTTTTTTTGCTCAACATCAACTTTTCATTCACCACAAATTCAATTACATTTGTCTAAATCCACAAGAGATTTTACCCAATTTGGCACAATAGAATATAACTTAGGGTCATAATTCGAAAACGAAAGAGATTCCTTCGCTATTCTATCGGCTACTTCATTTCCTCCTCTTCTCGAATACACAAACTTGGTTTCTTCAAAATGGTGGAGGAGTTGCTTGATATCCTGCAAAATCGGGTCTATGAAAGGCCTATCCTCTTCACCAGTCATTGAAGAGATGAGCTCTTGTGAGTCTGATTCAAAGATCACTTTACGATAGTTAAGTTTGTGCATATTGACCACCGCCCATCTTAAAGCTTCTGCCTCGACTTCGAGAACTGTCTGTGTCCGCCGAAAAGCTCTAGCTCCCAGCCACAGCACCTCACCATTGACATTTCTTAGCACCCATCCTATACCACAACGATCCCCTGCTCTTGGCCAGGCTCCGTCTATATTGCATTTAACCCATCCCTGTGGTGGACTCTTCCACTTTACTTGTGGCTGCGGGTCCATTGCTGGAAGCTTTCTCGCCTCTCTATCCTCATTTCTTCTTTCCCATTCATCCGCATCCTCTCCAGCCTTGCTTACCAATGTTAAAGCATCTTGTTCTTTCCCTTTAAAGGTGAGATCATTTCTGTTCTTCCAAAGCCTCCATAAAAGCCAAGGAATCAATTTGGGTTCAAAGGCTAGGTTAGGATGGTACTGTTGCAGATTGAAGACCCTCCAAAGATTTGTGTATATTGAGTCGTCCCAACTTCCCCCAGGAGGGGCAGGAATGGGAGACATCGCCCAAACTAGTCTAGCGAGAGAACATTGAAACAGCAAGTGGTTAACTGTTTCCTCTTTGGTTGGGCATCTAGAGCACGCAGCCTCCCTTGTTAAATGGCGATAAGAAAGATTCCCAGCTACTGATAAACTGTTGCTAATACATTTCCACAGAAAGTGGTGTACCTTGGGAGGTGCTTCCAGCTTCCAAATCTTTTGGTAAAGAGGATCTAAGCTTGGTTGAACCACTTCTTGGGATGAAGATCTCTTGTTCAGGATCTGAGTCAATACCCAATATCCGGATTTGACGCTATACTGTTCAGAATGAGTATTTAGATTTAGTAGCGGTTTCATAGGTCTCCAAGTTCACGAATATTACTTTGAAACTAAATTAGAAGTTCGAATATTCCATCTTCTTCCATACTAAGGTCTTAAGAAAACAGTGGGATGTTATTTGCTTTTCCTTCATGATAATGTTTAAAATTATGTTTTGGATGAGATCATGAGAAGATATTTCTTATTATTTTATAGATTCTTTTAGACATATGGAGCCAAAAAAAAAAACCATAAATTAAAATCTTTTATCACATGATCCAAAGGCCAAAAAGTAAAAATAAAAAGTATCTCATCACATAACCAAACGTTACTGAATAAGATCAATTTATTTTTCTCTGACAATATTTTTGATTGCGTCATTTTCTACTTTGGAAATGTGTCTGATTTAGCATTTTAGTTCGCTAAAAACATCAAAATCTTACCTTCTTTAGCTTTCACATTAGATTCTGGTAAACATAAACACAGAAAGAGAAGCCAGACAACGAAATAACAAAAAAAGAAAGAGAAGATTTTATTTTGCCCGATGCCTCCGACCAATAATTACCGAATCTCCGGCGAGCCACCGTCTACTTCGCCGTCTCCTCCACCGCCAAAGCCGAAAACAAGGATTCTCTCTGTATTCCTCGTCGGTTTAATCATGTTTTCAATCTTCTTTCTCTTCCTTGTTCTTATCGGCATCGCCTCTGTTCTTATCCTCCCTCTCCTCCTCTCTTCTCTCCATCGTCACCACCGACGTCGCCGTCGTAATCGTCGACAAGAATCCTCTGATGGGTTATCTTCAAGATTCGTGAAAAAGCTTCCCCAATTCAAATTCTCCGAACCCACCACATACACACGGTACGAGAGCGATTGCGTGGTTTGTTTTGATGGATTCAGACAAGGACAATGGTGTCGGAATCTTCCTGGCTGTGGACACGTGTTTCATCGGAAGTGTGTTGACACTTGGTTGCTCAAATCCTCGACTTGCCCGATTTGCAGAGCTAGGGTTAGATTGAGGGAAGAAGATGCACATGAAGGAGAATTATGGAGATGTTTTGGTCATAGAAGACGTAGTTTGCTAGATTTGTAAGTGCTCTGTTTATTGTTTTGGTTTTGTTTTAGTCATCATTATTGAATTAGAAGTTATAATCATTTAACAATGTTTGAAGGATTCAACATTAAGTTATAGTTTATGACTCATTCTTGATGATTTGTTTGTTTGAGGAGACTAATTACTTCATTGGTTTATAGTGATTAAAATCATTAAGACCATCTTTAACGGTGGTGCCTTAGCATAAATCTTAGGAAATAAAGAATTAAAATTAAATGAAAAATGGTTTTAATCTTAAGAACGTTGCTTAGTTAAGCAACATTTATTTATCTAAGCGGCGGACAGGTGTCACTCAGAGACAAGAGAAAGAAAAAATTGCTCCGATTTCATTCTGTCGTTTACGCGTTTCTCTCTCTCTCTCCACGACGAACATCACAGGCAAGGAGGAGGAGACTAGGAAGATCGATTTTATCAATCTCGATTGAAAAAAATGGTACGTTTTATTATTTCTCAGTTCATCGTTTTATTCAGTTAATTGTTCTATTTGTCAATCGCTTGATTTAACTTCTATTTCTTGAGGTGGAAAATTGGGGATAAACCATGTTTGTTTATTGTAATGGATCTCCAAAGCCCTAAAAGTATTTTTGATTGATTGTGATTGTGATTGCGATTAGTATGAATCTCTTTGGAGATTTATGGTTTTCGATGCTAGGATTTGGTTCTTGGGTTTGATTTTTTTGGAATAATTTGATCTTTCGTGATTATCTCACTCGATTATCATATTGTTTGTTGGTAATTTGAGAATTTTTGTTAATAACTTGATTCGTTTTGACAATTTGATAATTGCCAGGTTTTAGCTTGTTATCGAAATTGTCTCTATGATTTGGCTAATCTAATTAATTGCTTGCGTTCTGTTTTTTTTTTTACCTTTTTGATTATTGAGGATCATATCTGGTTTTGTGTTTTCATTTACTGAAAGTTCGTGATATGAATTCTATTGTTATGATTGTTATTACAATATAGTTTCGGAGAATTTCCGGTTGTTGGAGGAGCTTGAACGTGGGGAGAAAGGTATTGGGGATAGAACTGTGAGCTATGGAATGGATAATGGAGATGATATCTATATGCGTTCTTGGACTGGCACCACCATTGGTCCTCACAACGTAGTTATATCTTTTTCTTTATCTACTTTTGTCCTCATATCTGCAACTTAACTATGTTAGCAATTGTTTTAAGAAGCATTGATTAAAGTTCTAAGTTATCTTCATTACTAGTTCGATTTTCCCTTCCTTCATTGCTAGACTACAAAAAGTCAAAACCACATTGTGTTTTAGGCATCAATCTTATCGATACATGATCTCTTACGCTGCATTTTTTTCTTTTGCTTTTGTTTAGTCTTCCTGTTGTTTCCAGTTTCATCTTTGTTTACGGTTTGGTTTGGACAAGTTTGGTTGGACCAGTTTCATTTGTTTCATCTTTGCTTTTCAAGTTTGGTTGGGTCATCTTACATGTGGATCATCTTTGTTCTCTAATTAGCAACATGTCTCTGTGAATGATTGCACACCACAAAACATTATTTTTATATCATGTAGTTGTGTTCTTTTCCTAGTTTGTGTTCTTGTACCTAACTCTTTATTTTTTTCCATATATACAACACTTTTGTTTTACAAAAAACACAAACACTTCTCTCCATCTCATCAAACCACTCTTTCATTGCTATATATGTGTTGTAACCAAATTTTTACTAACACTTTTAAGAACCAAAAAATTTAACCAAAACACTTCAAATTTAACCAAAACACTTACAATTTTTAAGAACCAAAACATTTAAACTTCAAAAATTAAGTTTTCGTTTGCAACAGTTATTAAGTTTTTTAAAATTAAAATTGTTAAATTAATTTCTTTTTAAAATTAATATTTTTTTTCTAAGAACCACATGTTAAGAGCCTACCATTAAAGACACATAAATCTTAACCCAAAAATGAAAACTCTTAACTATCTTTTTTACAAAATTAATACTTAAATACTCCTAAGAACCAACATTAAGAGACCCTTGATAATCATGCTCTAAGCTCTCTAATAAGATATAAAGAGATAGATATGTAGTCGTTTTCAGTTTTTAAACGGTGATACAGTGTTTCTTGACCGATTCAACACGAATTGATGAAGCTATTGTTGATCACGTTTGTTACGTTTAATGAGGAAGGCAACTTGCGTTGTTGAACATGTTACCGAACTCTTGTTTTCTCTCTTTAACATCTCTAGTTATGTCGCGGTCTGGAAGTCATTGTTTAGACTTTTCATCGATGTGTTATGCTTCGGTTTCTTGTTCTTGAATTTGTCTAAGTCTTGGTTTTTTTTCGTTTGATTTTGGATTGAATAGGTAATATTGTGTGGTTCTGTAGACGTGGACGCAGTCAAATGGATGATAAAAATCTCCATAACCAAAGCTACTCAGAGGTACAATACAAGCCAAAGACTCTTTCCACCGTAGAAAAGTAGCGGGTCAACCAATCAATCTTATGGTAGTATATATGAGCACTAAGCAGATGGGTTTGATCTTATAAACCCCTCACTACCATTACCAAAAAACCAGTAGCCAAGAGGTTTTTTTTTTTTCATTTTTCTTTTCAAAACCCATGGATCGGTTTTCGTTCTTGAATGTTGTAATGGAGGTTGCGGGTATTCTAAATGAATCCCGCAAACTCTTTATCAAGAACAAAAAGTTGATGTTCTCAGTCTTGGCATTCCCTCTCTTACTCAATTGTTTAGTTTACTTGTTCAACGCCATTGCCATCAAACCCGAGATAACAAACTTGATCCTTGAATCAAGTTTGTTACCTATGACAGATCCAAACACCCCGGAATATGCTGCCCATCTTATGAGAGTCTTTGCAGATTTTCGTCAGTTTGTTAGTTCTTTATACATCTTCTTCGCCGTCTCCTCCATCATCAACCTCTTATCCACTCTTGTCATCGTTCACGCATCGGCTCTTACTCATAAAGATGATAGCTTCGAGATCAAAGATTTTCCGATTCTGACCCTTAAATATTGGAAGGGACTTCTTGTGACTAATTTCTACATTGCTCTCTTCAGTCTTGGCTATTGGTTCCTATTCGTTATAATCCTTTTTTCTATCGTTTTCTTCTCTACAAAACTCGATTCCTTGGTAGCCAAATCTCACGCTTTATGGATTCTATTCGCAGTCTTTGAGTCTTACTTAGCTATAGTTTGGAACTTATCTATGGTCATATCGATACTCGAGGATACTTATGGGATCCAAGCTTTGGGGAAAGCTGCAAAGATTGTTAAAGGGATGAAGCCAAAACTATTCCTCTTGAATCTTTTCTTTGGTTTATTGTCATTTGGATTAGTTCAAATCTTGCGACTGATAGATTGGAGTAGTTCATTCTCGGTTACCTTAACCACCAGTTTGGTCCTTGTGAGTTCGGTCTTTGTGGTGAGGATGTTTCAGCTTGTGACTTACACCGTTGCCTATTTCCAATGTAAGAGCCTGCAAGGCAAAGACGTTGACTCGCTGAGGGATGTGGAATATACGAAATTGTCCTCCACTACTCTCATGGGAGGATTGCCTTGATTATATCTATAGAAGTGGTATATAGTTTGTTTGTCTTAAGAATGTTGAAGTTCACCATGGATTCGGTAAATGAGTTCTAATAATCAAAGTTTGTTTTCTTACAAAGTAATAATCAAAGGTTTGGTTGTATATGTATGTATATAGCAAGGTATTTTTGCTTTTCTATACAATGCCGCATATGATTTGATTATCCATTTCGATCAAAGTGAGAAAACCACTATACTACAACAATTATTATCTTTTTGATATAAAGTTTTATAGAAAGCAACCAAAATAATAATTAGAAAAAGGTATTCACCTGTTTTTTATGTGTCGCTATTCCAGAGAAGTCTGGTCTGCGCTAGTCTCCAAGCTTCTCTCCACGCGATACACAACTAGATGGCACCATATTATCAACCTCTTAAAGGAGAACTCCTTAGGACATGATCAACTGTTTCTTCTAAGGTATTGTTTTCAGCTCTCAATACATGCTCTGTGGGGAGAAAGAAACAAAAGATGACATGGCGAGACTCCAATTCCAGCAAGCCAACTAGTCAAAAGACTGGATAAGCAAGTTCGGAATAGAATTTCGTCGATTCGCGAGCAAGGGGATGGCAAATACAGAGGTTGTATGGTGACTTGGTTCAAATCAAGATAACCACAAGGCTTTATCAATTGTTTCTCAGATTTTTTGGTTAAAACGAATATATAAACTCTCGCTGTCTTAAAAAAAATACTATGTAACAATGTTTTCCTTAAAAATTTACTATGTTCTTTGAAATATCATGTCTTTTAGTTAAATATAACACGTGAAATTTAAATGTTACATGCTATTTTGAAAAATTTCACGAAACTGTTTCGCATATCGTTGATCTCGCAACAAGCAAATGATAATTTTGGTATTTCACTTCTTATGACAACGTGGGTCCATGACTATTTTGCAACAAAAAACTTTCTCTCTGCTATTTTCTTAATTTCAGTGTTTTATTTGGCTATTATTAATATTACCCATAAAATAAAGACTAAAAATGTCCGGGTGTGAAAACCTGATGTAACTATCATGAAATATTCAAATACACACCAAAAATCCAAAAGCAAACTTCAATGTGGATTTTGGTTTGGGCTGAGATATTCAAACTTCAATCTAAAATTTATTGGCAACTATACTATTTTAAAACCAAAATAAACCTACATTGTTATACGAGATATAATAATGGGGAAACTTATACTCTCTTTTTTAATGGGGAAACTTATACATTAAGCGATATAAAATGTTATATACTGTACATAAGTAATGAAAAAAGTATAAGTAAATGACCATGAGTTGGTAATTTATTTACAAAAACGATGGATGATACGTAAATTTTTTAACCGTAAATTTATTTAACAATTTATATCAAACAATTTATTTAACCGTAAAAACAAAAAGATTAGATTTAAATAAAAGAGATGTTATTGAGGAAGGAAGATCCACAAGAAGGGGAATTATGAAGATGTTTTGGTCATAGAAGGAATAGCTTGCTAGATTTTTAAGTGCTCTGGTTCTTGTTTTTGATTTGTTTCAATCATATTTTGATTAGAAGTTATAATCATTTTAGCAATTTTCACCATCCTCTAAGAGTGTTTGAAGCTCTGATATTCTTCTATGTTTTGTAAATACAATGATGGTTTGACATCTCATATAGTTGAATTTAATGACCATATAGTTTATGACTCATTCTTGATGACTTGTTCGTTTGAGGAAACCAAATGCTTCATTGGTGTATAGAATCTCTTAACTCTCCAATAACATATATATGTAAATAGATGTAGATTATGTTTCATTTTTACACGGTTCTCGACCGTTTCAACACGAATAGATGAAGTGAATGTTGTTGATCACGTAGATTTGATGACGAAGCCAACTTGCAATGATGTCGCGGTCAGGAAGTCATCATTTAATTTAGACGACGTTTCATCGATGCATTATGCTTCGGTTTCTTTGTTCTTGAATTTGTCTAAGTCTTGGTTTCTTCGTTTGATTTTGGATTTAATATGAAATAATAATACGTTGTGGGTTATGTGGACTTGGACTCAGTCAAATGGATGATAAGAATCTCCATAAACGAAGCTACCCCGAGATACAAGCCAAAGACTCTTTACGTAGAAAAGCGCGTGGTTCATAATCTAATGGTTAGTAGTATATAAGCACTAGGCAGATGGGTTTGATCTTATAAACCCTCACTACCATTACCAAAAACCAATAAGCCAAGAGCTTTTGTCATTTTTCTTTTTGAAAGCCATGGCTCGATTTTCGTTCTTGAATGTTTTAAAGGATGTTGTGGCTATTCTAAATGAATCCCGCAAACTATTTCTCAAGAACAAAAAGTTGATGTTCTCAGTCTTGGTATTCCCTCTCTTACTCAATTGTTTAGTTTACTTCTTTAACCTCTTTGTCATTGTACCGGAGATCACAAACTTGATCCTTGAATCAAGTTTGTTGCCTACGACAGATCCAACCTCCCCGGAATACGCAGCCCGTCTTATGAGAGTCTTTGCAGATTTTCGTCAATTTGTGGGTCATTCATACATTTTCACGGCCGTCTCCTCCATCATCAACCTCTTTTCTGTTCTAGTCATCGTCCATGCATCGGCTCTTACTTTTAAAGATGAAAAATTCAAGATCAAAGATTTTCCTGCTCTGAGCCTCAAATCTTGGAAGGGACCTCTTGTGACGTATTTCTACATTGCTCTTTTCAGTCTTGGCTTTGGGTTCCTCTTCTTTATAATCCTCTGTCCTCTCCTTTTGTTCTCTACACAATTTGGTTCCGTGGCAAATATCGGTTTCTTGGCAGTCGAGGCTGGTGCTTTATTGATTATATTCGCTGTGTCTCAGTCCTATTTCGCTATCTATTGGAACTTATCTATGGTCATATCGATACTAGAGGAAACTTATGGGTTCCAAGCTTTGGGGAAAGCTGCAAAGATTGTTAAAGGGATGAAGACAAAACTGTTTCTCTTGAATCTTTTCTTTGGTTTATTGGCATTCGGATTAGCTCAAATCTTGCAGCTGATCAATTTGGGAAGATCGTTCTCGGTTACCTTAACTACCGGTTTGGTCCTTGTGTGTTTGGTCTTTGCGGTGAGGATGTTTCAGCTTGTGACTTACACCGTTGCTTATTTCCAATGTAAGAGCCTCCAAGGCAAAGACGTTGAGTCGCTCAGGGATGTGGAATATATGGCATTGTCTTCCACTACTACTCTCATGGGATGATTGCCTTGATATTTCAAGAGAAAATATTTAATCGGTGGATTGTTGTTTGTATATGTTGAAGTTCACCATGGATTTTGGTAAAGGGTTTTGAATAATCAAAAGTTTGGTTAAATATATGTTTTGTTTTTTCAAGGTTTGGTTGAATATATATTTTGTTTTAAGGTTTGGCTATATATATAGACAAGATATTTTTGCCTTTTTTTTTGTATTGTAAAATGGCGCATAAGACTTGAGTATCCATTTCGATCAAAATGAGAAAACCACTACACTACACATAAGTTATTTTTATTTAAATTAAAGTGCTATAGAATGCAAAATAATATGATTTTCAGACCACGGCTCATGCCATTGGCGTGAGAGAAACTGTAAAAGGCATTGTTGGTGTGGGTCTCGAACTAAAGAGGAGACGGATCGCTGCGGAAGAAAGCATGAACGCGAGGCTTCTTCGTGGACTGAACTAAACAAGAAAAGCCACCAGTGGGCTTGGATGATCATCTTCATAGTATCAGCCCATCCCAGCCCAAGGGGGATTGAAAGAAAAAATAAAAACCGACAAATTAATGTGTAATTGCCCTTGTTTGAAAAATCGCTAGACCCTAGTCGGACGCTCGGTACGAGCCTAGCTAGCGCTTAGCGATTAATCGGAAAATCGGATTAAAATCGGAAAATAGTTTTAGGATTATTTTAATAATTTTAAAACATATTAATCTAATATTATTTTCAAAATTGCAGTAAATATATAAAAATATATTTTTAAAACAAATTTTTATGATTTTTATTAAAATTTGAACATAAAATTATAAATGCGTAGACCAGACATCTCCCCACCTATATGGAAGATGTATTCAATATTAAAAAAAAAAAAAAAAAAAAGTCATTACAATTTCAATTACCAGATTGTATGAACCCATGTCGACTCATGCATGATTCGACTGACTGGTTATGTTGCAAACAAGTTACAGCTATCACGTGACTTTGCAATATATAGCCAAGTACTAATTTTTTTATTTTTTTTTTGGTTTAAAATTCCGTCGAAAAATTATGTACTGGTGATATATTGGAAAACAATATTTGTATCATACAATCTTAACTAAATACTAGATTTGTTTTTTCGGGTTTAAAAATCCATAACGACTCTATCAAATTGCGTACTAGTAAATACTAAATAGTAATAGAATATCAATTACTCAAGTCTTGTCATAAGATTTTCTAAATGAATCTATATAGTTGCTGATATGAGAAAGTAAATACGCGCGTTGTAGATTAATTATATTGTGTGCATCAATCATCTGTATATATCTCTACTTTTCCAAAAGTATTTAGAAAATTAATTATATAAGTTTTATACATCAAATATCAAACCGTGAGTCCTTTCTTTAATTTTTGGCACCAAACCGTGAGTCTCTTAAGAAAATATGATTACTCAATCGTAAAATCTTGGAGGCAAAACCTTTTGAATAAATTATCTAAACAATGTAAAAACATTTCACATGGGATTGTCCATAGATAATACGGCAAATTTAAGATGCCACTTTGAATTTCAGCCGACATGAAATGATGAAATAGTCACACATTGATTTTAGTATATAATCAATTACAATTAAGTAAACCCTAGAAAACCGACATCTTTGGTCAAGCCAACAAAAAACACAGAAAAGCTAAACTGTTGTTGTTTTTATCTTTGGTTTCAAAAAATAACGTGTATGAACCCAATCAAATCCAGCCCACTAAATATATAAATATCTTTTGCAGTTCGTTTTCACATTGATTTTCCTAGCTAAGAACTTTGTAGGACCATCATACAAAAGTTATTGATGCAAACTGCTCAACCCTGTCAACAATGAAAAACAAGTAAATTCACATTATCTTCTCAATTATCTTGTAGAGAATTCATATTAAATAGCCATGGATTCAAAAAGAATTAAGAAAATAGCCATGAGCTACAGTACTTTATCTGTTG